AAGAAGGACGTTCGGGACACAACAAAACAATTACAAACTTTGGCATCGATTACTTTCTTCCAAAGAATGTTACCAACCGCACGACCATCTTGGCTGGAGTTTATCGATTCCATCCTGATGAAGTTGAGGTGTTTTATTTAAACTGATATAATGAGAGTCGACAACCGAGTGTTTCAATCCCACTAGAACGTAGCGCTCACGGATAAACAACTTACACTCATTTAAATTGTTTTTGTGAGTTAGCACTCCAAGAACGCTTTACAATCATTTTCATGGGTAGTTCATACTTTTATGGTTGCTATATTGACAAATTGAATATGTGAGCACTTCGTTAAAGTCCGAAGTAGTTTAGGTATGAACGAGAGTAATTGTTATTAATAGTAATAGAGCGGTTTTCAATCGAGTGTTGAAATTAATCATGTTAATTACTTTGGTTTTGTTTGTTTTTTTGCTGCTGGCTGAGATTGGCCGAGTCCGTCAGATTGGTTAGTAGATCGTTTGGTTTTGATTTTACGACACTCAAATCAATACCGCTTTAATTGTATGTATTTAAAATAAACTGAGGTCTTTACCTGATTACTCACTTTGATACTACACAGTGCTAGCGCGCTTGTGCTGGGGAACGCTTGTACTTGTGTTTATTTTTGATTTTTTTTTTCTTACCTTTTACTTTTGTAGAGCTATATCTTCTCGGATGATATAACGCGATCACTCTTTTTCAACATATTACAAGCTTTGCATATGAATGAAGTAACGACGCATGTACTAACTATTTCATTCTAACTTACTTTTGTCTTTTAATAATAACAATAATAATAATAATAATAATAATAATAATAATAATAATAATGATGACTTTATTATCGTGTCAATTCCATCTAGCAGTGGAGAATCCCCACTGCCAAAAGGGGACACCTAACTAGAACTATTTAAAAATAATATACAGAAAAGTCCTATAAGAGAAGTTAGAATTATGAGTTACAAAGATGGCAGCTACTACATTCATTTAGGATGTTGCCTAGATCTAGCCTCCGTAAGTGGGTCTTAAACTGCTTGAGATTTATCGCCGATCTTTCTTTATTTGTTTATGTGATCCCTTGGTGCTGCGTTTTTATGTGGAGGCTCTTTTGATTCGCCCGAAATGTAAAATGGTCTGTTAATACTTACACTAAAACTAATGTTAAAAGCGGCCCTTAACGTACTCATAGGGTCCTCGTTTACATTCTTCATTGCTTATTAAACCTGCTGTTACATTCTTTTGGAGCTTTGAAAGAAAGTGTTTGTAATGCATTGTGAGATCGATTTTCTGCCAGTTTAAGTTACAGCCTTAGGTGTAGTACTATATATGAAGTGTACTACTTTCCTGGTATATATGGCCTTAATAAACCTCTATCCTTCTTAGTTACTGTGCTATATACGTAAATCTCATTCCCTCTGCCTTTCGGACAGTGGTCTCCTGGTTATGAGGCTAAGGAAAACTAAAAAGGGCTAGGTGTCAGAGCAAGTTTTGCACTCGTCGGTTTACTTCGCTGAGATGACCGGAGAACGAGCGTTACTACACTGCATGTAAGTGTTGTTTGAGCAAATGAGCATTTTTAATTGTAAATTTACAAAAATAGAGCTTCTCATCATAAACAGAGACAGTTCAATTGTTTTCTGTCGTTGTTTTACTCCTTAGTATAATTTCTACCTTCGTAACAAAATTAATGTCTTTATCGAAGCACTGTTTAGGTTGAGAATTTGTGAATTTCGCTACAGCTGTACATGTTTTGTCGGCGGGAATCTAGCAAAACTTGTTATTTTAGTACAGTTTTAACACTACTGTTGCTAACAATGGTCTCTGCGAGCCATATTTACTGCAGAAAAATAGCTCGCTTCCAGTGCGTTTCTCTGATTCACAGGGGATGTTTAATTTGGGTCAAATTTGTCAAAATTCCGAAGCAAAAATTTGGAAGCCAACTTACCGTCATCAACCCATGCTCTGTTCTCTGATAAAGCACGCTGTTTCAGCCAATCAGAGCGCGCGTTATATGGAAACTTAATCATGAAAAGAGATAATAGTTGACAAACTCGCAAGTCAAATTGGACCGGGACCTGTTGGACCAATTTTGACAGCCTTTGGAATGTTCTTTAATCAGTTACAAATTTGGCCTGTATGTACTCCATTAGGCGAATGAGGAATTGATTTTTCTTTAACAAGAGCAATGACGGAACGAAAGAAATTGTCCCGTTGGTATTGTTGGTTTCCGCAACAAAGTTCGCCGCAGTACAAAATAAACCATGTGTGTTTTTAATGCTCTTTTTTTTCCACCTTCTAAAATCCGTTCAGTTCATATTCCAAATTACCCGTTAGATTTTACATTAAGTGACATCTTGAACATTTCCTCGTGACTACTTTATCATTATGAAACGTATCCCAAGGTCTTGACATAATGAACAACTCGATAGAAACACAGAACTAGTAAGAGCTGTTTACGTAATGATGGCGCGAGCAAAGAGAATTTACATCTTGATGATCAAGATAAACAGGTTGCTTTCTGTTTCGGTTGCGATATTTTCTAAAAGAAACACATGTTCTCTGTGTTTCTATCGCGTTTTAGTATAAATCCACTAGCGTTCTATCATGAATGCCGTCCTCTGATTGGCTACGCTACTCACTATCTATTCTGTGATAGATTGTAGGTAGCGTAGCAGTATTCCCTCATTTTCAAAATGATGGCCCCTTGTTGGCGTTTTCGAAGTGTCTGTGAACAGGATTTAGACAAAGTTTTGAACGACTAGTAGATTTATACTAAAATAAATGGTATTATTCGCCCTCGATTTCTATGCGTGATAGTTGACGAGGGCGCTGCCCTCTTCAACTGTCACGAGATAGAAATCTCGACCTCATAATCTAATTGTTTAATAGAAACGCGTGTTCCCACGGTATTTCTATTTCCCCCAGAACTTCCACTAGTGTTTCTATTTAACAAATAGATTCGATTTTGCCGTGTGTCGGTTCAGTAATAGATCACACAGTATTAGATTGCACGCCTGTGAGCCAAATGAAACCTGGACGTTGCCTTGAATATTGGAGAAGTTGAAAAGTCGCTCGGAAAACTAGTGGTTGCGGCTGACATCTACATTCGAGCTTTGAATGAAAGGCGGGTCACTTACGGTGGCAATTTGTGTCCTCAGTGGTTGATGATTCTCAAGTACATTTGAGATAGTGTCGGAGACTCAAGAAGTAGGGAAAAGAAGTAGGGAAAAACACTCGATTACGTCTCGTGTTTTCCCCTACACTTCTTTCGTGCTCTACCGCTTCCTGCGTGCTTTACAACAGAACAGAGCACAGTCGGGGCTTCTTTATTTGTTAATTAGGGGCTTTTAAGCAATTATTTTCAACTGTCTAAATTTCTTTTGCATTTTATTTTGCTCCCGAACTGTCCGAATTTTCCGTTTAATGGTTCACATGTCGCAAAAAATCAACAATTCTATGATTTTCTGGAAGCTTTCCCGGAATCTTCCGTACCACTTACTCTCTATTTCAAAAGTTACGGTCGAATGGAAAACGTCCAAAGTCTTGTAAAAACCGACACCGAACAGCATTGATGGTGCCAACTACAGGAACCTTGCGCGAGAGGTAATAGTTGGGTCTAAAATTAACATAAATTAAAATCAATACTCTTTTGTTTATTTACAAGTTAAAGACAACGTTGCGGTCTTTTCCTCGAGTAAAACAAGACAAAGTAAAGATACGGATGGAGACTGATTTTTTCAGCAGTCTTTATAACATTCCAGTGACTTTTATCGTGTAAAGCTCAGATTTTTTCTAAAAGAACTTGCTATCATTCCATTAACTCGTTGGGAAAACAACTATGTGACAGTGGAAGACCAATGCTGACCAAACGCTTGAATTGAAATTGCACTCAAGCGTTCGTCTCACCAATCGCCCAAAAAGGGATCCTGCATGCATCTGAAAAGTGGAAAAAAGTGACCGCAAGGTGCCCGAAGTCAATATACACTGTACAAGGAGGGAACAAACATCAGTGATGACAACATTCTCTGTAATAACATCATTGACGACAATTTTCTGTATCCACCTTCTTCGGTGACGTCATTTACAACGTCGCTGTTTCCGGTGATGACCTCATCAATGACGCCACTGTTGTCGTTGTTAGCGCTATCTGTGGGATTGTAAGAGCGCCGAACGAGCGTTTACTAAGGCTTTGAACGCCTCCTCTGTACCTGGAGCTAAGCTCTTGTCTGGATGAATAAGAATGGCCAGCTTTCGATAAGCACGGTTTATGTCATCCCTGAAAAACGTAACGAAGTAATGTCAGTGCCTCTTAAAATCTCGTGTGTAAGTCAGTAATTACACTACTTCACAACGCCTAGCAAGAAAGATAGATAGATAGACACTTTTAATTAAAAGGTGAAATTTTCAGGGTAAAACTTTTAGGGTAATCCCTTCAGGGAGCTTACAAAGCATCTCTCCTATCAATAGGAGCCCTGATGCTATTACCTAACATAGAATACACAATAATAGGATATACACAAAAATAAAAACATAAATATAGGACAGTATATTACAACAAATATCAAAAGCCCGTGACTACCATAGTAACATCTTCAAATTTATGTACATATACAGTACAATCAGTCATTTCTATGCCCAAAATGGGCAAAATCGATTCCCTATTTGAGAATCTCAGGCCCGATTCAAACGTGAAACTTTGAATGTACCGTATCTATGTACAAGTAAAGTGCGACGTGTAAATCAGTTAGGATTGACACGTTATACACGAACGTCGTGTTGGCCCACAGATTTTAATTGCCCTATTGTGTAGGTCAAGGTTTGTCAAAACTTAACTCCACTGTTCGTTCTGTTTTCAACTTCTTACCTTACCACAGCCAAATTTGCAATTAGTCAATCACAAACCGTGTCTACTGTCCTGATATCCTGCGATATCAAATCACTGGCCTGATTAGTCTATCATAGCATTGTTACTTGGCCAAATTCGGGTACGGTAAATACCTACAGTTATCGTACCTTTTCTTGGTACGTTTCGGCGGAATATCGGGTTTGTTTGGTGTCCCGAATGGTGGTTTGGGTCGATCAAACTCGCCCGCTATGCGGCCGTAGCCTCCAAAAAAGGTTGGATAGCTATAAACACTACGGAACGTAACTCATCTTACCTGCTTGCCCCGGTTGTCAGACCGAGTCTCTCGTAGTTATCCTTGGCTGTTTTAAGCCTGTGAATGGCCTCTGCCTGTTCCTTGGTGTAACCGAGAGTAGTGGATGCATTAACCTGAACAGGTTTGCCTCCGTTTTCTATCGTTGCCAAAACTGCTTTGAACAAGGTCTGGAAGAAAGTGAATAATTTCCTTACAATGCGCTTTCTTGTGGGGTACTACAGAAAACATTGCGTGTAGATTCAGAAGCCTAGCTAGAAAACCTAGCAGCATATTCTTACTCTAAGCAGTCCTCTCCCCAGTCCCCATCCTGCCCATCCCGCCCATTCCCCTTTCTCCTCACCCTTCTCGAGGGTAACTACGGTAACCACTCATTTCGCCCGATAGCCAGTTCGCCCATTGTCAGTTCACATGGATTGAGTTTAAAGACAGATGAGCTTAAAATTAATTTTTTTTTAAAGAGGCTAACCGAGCAAAAATAAATAAATAAATAAATAAATAAATAAATAAATAAATAAATAAATAAATAAATAAATAAATAAAATAAATAAATAAAATAAAACAACAACAACATTGTGGGCATAGTGAAACAGACACAAAACCATTGACTAAGGAGCTATAACCCTTTGACTAAGGAGCTAAAAGTCCGGTAAAACCAATTATTGGTCCGGGCGAGCTAGCATAGGGCGAACTGGCTTTCAGGAGAAACCGCCGCAGTTCGTAACTACTACTTGTGATTTATCCACAGACTCGTGACACAAGATTCACTCTTACTTGGAACATATCATTGATTCCATCGCCTGTCTGTGCTGATGTCTCAAAATAATGAAATCCATGACTGTCTGCCCACAGTTGGCCTTCTGTATCATCCACAACTCTCTTTCTACTATCAATCTGTAAGAGGAGTTAGTGGTTGTGTTACCATATTCAGGAGTTTTTCGTGTCTTGTTTCATTTCGTTTGGCCGGTCAGTAAAATGAGGACTCGGGGCCGCGGTCTGTGGCAGAGTTGAACGACATTATAGGCTGATATAGCAAGAGAACAGGAACGTCACTTGACGACGGCGCGCGCAGTACAAATACCCAAATATGGCCAGATGACGACTGCAGGGCCCGCGGAATAACCTGGATTCTGTTCTAATTTGACCATATTTGGGTGTTTGTTCTGCGCGCGCCGTCGTCAAGTGACGTTCCCGTTCTCTTGCTAAATCAGCCTACTGACAGGAGGCGGCGGCAGGCAGGTTCCGCCATCCTGCACATTCCAGTTCACGAGTTTGCTAATTCAAGGAAATATATGATTTCGTAGCTTGTATACAGCTGATTTGAGATGGGTTGTCGGAATAAAGTGTAAACGTGCATGCGTGACAACCCCTACGCTACAATGGGTACAACTAGATAGCGGATAGCTAGATAATCAAATATAACAACATGGCAAATCCCGTACATTTTTTTTTTCGTTCAGAATTTTGGAGATAAAGATTTTTCTCGCTACACTGAATTTTAGAAGAATTTTCCACTAAAAGTCATGAAACACTGACAGAAAAGCTACAGAAAAATGGTGTTAAGTGGAAAATCTAATATGCTTCACGAGAAACCCCAACCTCGTCCCGAGGCCAGAATCCGGCTGACCCTAACCCTGTTGCGTCGCGTTGCAATTTTGTCAAAAGTTGCATCGCAAAATTTGACAATAAAAAACAGTTTCACTGTGCCATTTCTGAAATGTAACTAGTTGCACGTAAAATTAAGGATGTTTTTACAAGGTCAAACTGTTGCTATAGTAGCACATAGTGTGGCCAAAATAATAACCAGGTGATCAGCAATGATTGGGCAGTTTATGATTCCATGATCGTAGTATATGATTAAGAGTGGTTATGATGACCATCAAAATCTACGTCTTGGAAAGTGCTGGAAAGCTGTTTTGAGCCGACCTAACTGGGGATTGTTGCACGGTTAGTGCCCTAGGGTACATGTATATTGTGAGAGTTGAGGTGCCAAAACATTTTTTCAGAGGATTAAATACTGTGTGCAATGACTCCGTTCTCACCTTGTTAGCACAGACAGCAAATGCAACGCTCTCAAAGTCAGCAGGACTTCCAATATCTTTCTTTATCTCCTCCAGCCAGCTATCGAGTGCATCAAAACTCTCTCTGTTTCCAACGTCATACACTAGCATGGCACCTTGGGTATCCTTATAGAATTCATTGCGAACCTTGAAATAAAAAGCGCGTACGGGTATTTACTCAACACACTTACGTCAGTCCTAAGACGTGTACATTAGCTTTCTTACTGTAACTGTTCCTTATTACGTTAGTTACAAGAATATGGCAGTAGATCAAGTAACTGTAACTCAAGTCTGCTCAGAACACATACTCCCTCGTTACAGTACGTGATAAATGTTTAGCAATTAAATAGCAAGCTCTGGGCTTCTATTGATTGACAGCAGCTAAGACCTGAGTTTGCATCTAATTGTTTTAGCATTACCCCCCCCCCCC